CACACAGAAACCACGTTTCACGTTTCAGCATCATCCAAATTCCTCAAACCCAAAAATCCCACCACTAGCGAAGTACCTTCTTCATTCAAAGAACAAACAAACCCAAACTCTGAAACAAGAAAAAAGCCGCCACAAGACCCCGTCACCGCGGGGACGCTGTTCGTCCCGTCCCCGCGCCGTTCGCCTTGTCCCCGCGTAGTTCGTCCCGTCCTCGCGTCGTTCGTCCCGTCTCCTCCGCCACCTCAATCAACGCTGCCTCCGCCGCCTCAATCGACGTTGCCTCCGCCGCTTCTCCTCCTCCTCTGTCGCGTCGTTCGTCCCCGTGCCGTTCGTCCCCGTGCCGTTCGTCCCCGCATTGTTCACTTCCTCCTCCGCCACCTCAATGAACGCTGCCTCCGCCGCTTCTCCTCCTCCTCTGTCGCGTCGTTCGTCCCCGCGTTGTTCGCTTCCTCCTCCGCCACCTCAATCGATGCTTCCTCTGCCGCTTCTCCTCCTCCTCTATTGCGTCTTTCGTCCCCCCTCCGTTCATCATGCATCGTTCTTCCTCCGTCATCGCCGACTATGCGGTCTGCCTCTCCAAGTTCCGCCACCAGATTTGGGGTTGGCAGTGGTGTGGTTTAGTTGTGGGAGGAACTGGGTGAAGAAGTTAGCAGTAGGGTTTGAGGAAAAGGAGAAATGAACAACAGTAGCAGCAGAAATGAGCAGTAGGTGAAGTGCAGGTCAGGTAAAAAAGGTAGGTTTTGAGAGAATCTTAGGCCTCGATCCTGCAATAACCCGCATAAACCTATTTCAACACCGGTTCTGTTTAGAACCGCAGAAACGAAGCACTACATTATGTGTCAGGTCAAAACACAGTTTTGCCGATAGTATTAGGCATCGGTTATGCTTTGAACCGAGGTAATATGCACAACATGCTTCGGTTCTTCACAAACCGGGGCATATAAGTTCGTCTAAATTACAAGATTGCCACCGCTTTCGTATATGTTTTGGTTTTTCTTTGACCGAAGCCTATTAGACGAGTTAAAAAACCTATTTTTTACTAGTGTTTGTATGTTAGATAACTCTTCTAATTTGATGGTTGTGGTTTTAATTTGCAATTGATTGTATTTTATAAAGAAATAAATAATAGTACAGGTGTCGAGAAAGATGCATGGTCATAGAAAGAGGGGTCAATACCGATAGATATTTGAGAGAGTCTTTTAGTCTTAGAATTTTCCTTTTCAATAA